ATATATATATATATATATATATATATATATATATATATATATATATATATATATATATATATATAATAAAACTAAAGAATATCTATCTATTTTGTTCCTGTACTTTTTTCATAAAGCAAGCTTGTAACTTCCAAAACCACCCCAGCATCCTATCATAGATCAAAAGAACCAAACGTTTTATTTCCCTCTTGGTTAAATGTGTTCCCCCAAAAAGTCTTTGCCAGTTACCTTCCTCTAACAGAACTCCTGCTGGTCAGTTCTTGTATCTTGCTATGGCAGCTGTGAACATATATACAACTGATTGAGCGATATACATCTGACTGGAGCATGCCCGCTAATTGGTTTGAGAACTAGATATAGACAATGCTGTCTTATAGCCGCTTGTGCAGATAGGCCCAGTGGTAGGGTTAATTCTGCTTGACAGCACATCAGCCGCATCTTGAGAATAATTACCCAACTTAAGTTTTCCCACAGCTGAACTGAGAGCTTCAAAGGCTTCTGAATTTACAACTATTATTAACCTATATCTGAAACATAATGTTCCCACAAGGGCTAGACTTTTTCTCCTTCTTATTAAATGTACAGGTTATCAGGTTCATTTGCTATGTGCTAAGCTCTTAGAGGACAATACTCCTTGTTAGAGAGTGAAAATCTGTAGTACGTAAGAAGGAGGATAATTGTGCATCTAGCACACATCATTATCTTTGCTAAGACATCAAAATCAGTTCAACTTGTGTTTAAAGAGAACAGAGCTATTTTTTTTCTATTTGCAGAGTGAGGAAATTAAAGACACACACAAAACCCTCATAAGATGTTGCCCAACTACTGATCATTGTATACAATACATATGATATTAATGAAAAGTATCTGGTTCAAAAATAGATTAGAAACGTTCATGAATATATGGAATCCTGTTAATTACTTTTTGAAAACTAAAATGAATGAGAACAATATGTATTTCATAACTACAAGTATGTGCTGTAATACATAGTTACATAACTTAATCCTGGTTTTATATTTATATCCTGTGTTTGGTTTCCCTTGTGTGTTTTTTCTTTCTTTTAAAATTTCTCTTCTTTTTAACTGTACATTGTGCAAATCCAATAAAAGTATTAAACATGAAAAGCAGCATTTGGGATTAAAATCAATTTGCATGCATGAATTATTAAAACACAGAGGTATGCCTACTTCTTAAAAACAGTCGTTTTTTTTCCTCTTGTCAACTAGTTTCCAAGATTAAAAGCAGTTCTTATAATGTAAGTTCTTTCTGTTTCCCTTTGCAGGTCAGAAACAAAGTTTGACTCCAATTCAGGTATGTTTAGATTTACAATGTCATGCTGAATACACTGTATTCATGTTCTACTCATCAGACTAATTTATCAGTTCATCTTCAATTTTAATGAAACTGAGGCAGGCCAATCTTGAAAAGGATCTGAGTTTTCTCACCACCTAAGAATAGCACTGTTATTGCTGATGCCTTTAATTCATTCTCTTCATTGGTTCATATCTTTTTACTTTCTTCTTTTTACCTTGAGATGATCACCAGGAAGCCATTGTTTTGCCGTAAGTTTTAACTGATCCATCTTTAAAAAAAATCATAATAATAAAAAGTAAAGCAAATAGAGGAGAGGTAGAGCTTGTTAATTATCATTACCTTTTCAAAATGAATATTTTTCTTCCTTGTGGACAAAGAAATTTTATGGGAATTTGAATTCTGTGCAGCCTGTATGTCAAGAAGCAAGTGATTTGTCATGAAATTTTCATGACAGATGCATGTACACAATGCATGCCAGACCAGTCTGCAGACTTCTTTCTAGTAGGTTTACCAAAAGGCAATATCTCTCAACTTACCTTTTTAAAGAATTTTAATGTGTTACAGGGGAAAAAAGCGAAGGTCAGTATAACGGATTAATGTGTATCTAACAAGACAAAACACACAAAGCAGCAAACAGAACTGTTTTCTCCAAATGAGGATGGTGAAAGCAGACTGCCACTTGTTAAGCTACTTATACCCGGGTTTTTGTTGAAGTTATAAAATAGTATGCCCTTAAATTGTAAAATAATTTCTTACACTGAGAGCAGCTGAGATGTCTATTATATGAAACAGTTGCTCAAAAATACATATCTTAGTTAAGAGGGAAAATTTTATTTTAAATAGAAAAACAATATTAATATAAGTTCAGAGCAGTCTTGTAATTAAGTTAATGTTACCCCATAAATTTATTTAATGCAGGGTTTTAAATTGTTATACTTCTAAAAATTCTACAATGTTAGTGACCTAGAAGTCTCTCGGAAATGACATACACCTCTACCTCGCTATAACACTGTCCTCGGGAGCCAAAATTTTTTACTGCGTTATAGGTGAAACCACGTTATATTGAACTTGCTTTGATCCACTGGAGTGCGCAGCCCCGCCCCCCTCCCCGAGCACTGCTTTACTGCGTTATATTTGAATTCGTGTCACATCAGGTTGTGTTATATCGAGGTAGCGGTGTATTTCCTTTCTTCCCATTTACAGCAGTGATCTCAATTTGAATTTTGAGGTACCTGTACTATTTTTCCCTTTTTTTTACACTGGACTGTATCTTTGCAGCAGCCAGTATAGAGTGTGAAATCTGCAGAGTGAAGGACTTATGAGATCCAATTCATGATACGTATATAATTGAGTGATATTGTTGTGGTTTTAATTGTTGTGTTTGGGGTTCCTAGTTGCAGGTATTGCTCAAGTAAGGTAAATGCTTATTTTGATGCCCATGGCTTGTGAATATGTAATGGAAAGGCAAGGTAGTTTTAAATGTTTTCTGATGTATTTTTTATAAAACTACTCTAAAGATGGCATGGAACAGAACTACCAACTGTTGCTCTTCCTTGTTGCCTAATTGGAATGAAAATGCTCTTTAAAGAATTCCCCTTTGCAGTGAATATGTTTAAAGTGTGAACAAGGACTCTAGTATTCTGTATGGTTTTCTTCTTCCTCTCCTGATGGGCAATATTTGCCAGGCTTTTTCTTTAGAGTGACTACACTGGGAATAGAAAGAGGGTAGAGGCATAGAAAGCTTAGTGGATACTGAGGCCACCTCGTAGTCATGCCAGAGAGCTGCTTTGAACATTCTGTCAGTCACCATGCTTGGGAAATCCCCTATCTCTGGTATGAATGTGTCTTTAACATGGACAGATATGGTAGCACCCACCTTTAACACCGTGATGTATGTGGCTTCATCCTTCTGATGAAAAGTTGTGTAAAGTTGGTATGTTGCTGGTCAGTGATAGAGAATCCACCATGACCCTTGGTAAATTGTTCCAATGGTTAATTATTCTCCCTGTTAAAAATGTACACCTTATTTCCAGTCTGAATTTGTCGAGCTTCAACTTCCAGGCATTGGATTGTGTTTATACCTTTCTCTGCTAGATTGAAGAGCCCATTATTAAATATTTGTTTCCTAGGTAGGTATTTATAGACTAATCAAGTCATCCATTAACCTTCTGTTTGTTAAACTAAATAGATTGAGCTCCTTGAGTCTATCACTATAAGGCAGGTTTTCTGATCCTTTAATCATTCTTGTGGCTCTTCTTTGAGCTCTCTCTGATTTATTAACATCCTTTACCAACAGGCAGGATGTATGAATTGTAGGAATATTGCTCTGGCTGCCCTGTTCCATCTGTCTTTCTGCACATCTCCATTTCAAAACAGAAAGCTGTACAGCTAGGACTTTGTTATTCCCAAATACTCCATGTATAGACAATGTTATGATGGCAAAATAATGCCTTGTTCCTTTTCAGCTTTGAAAATGGATTAAGCTTTTATTCCAGAATAAGAATGTTCATGCATCGAGTTATTCAGGAATAGCTATTGCACTTTATAAATTCACACCTACCTTAATCCGAATTAACTTTAAAGGGTAGACAAGCCCTTAGTGGTCACTCTCTGTATGTATTTGGTGGGACGGGAAGAATGGAAACTATTCTTGAAGCACAAAAATCTGCTCTAGGGCAAGAGGGGGAGAATTTCCTTCTGTTTCTTTTCTAGCAACATGTGTGAAAATATTGAAAAATAAAAAAAGACATGACTATTTTTTTTCTGAAGCTGGCACAAAGTCTGGAATGTAGCTTTAAAAAAAGTCTAATAGATTCACTATAAATTCAGACTTTGGAAACACTATACAACACTGAAATATTAGGCAGACATTGTCAAAGGAAGATTAATTTGAACTTGAACACGGTGCGGCGCT